GGATATTTCAGGTGAACAGATTCTGAAACTATTCCCATGCTGGAAAAATAAATCCTTCATTGTTTGTAATCTTTATCTACTTACAGCTAAATTAAATATATTTGTTCTAAATTATAGAAAAAAATCCTTTCTAAATATATAGATGTATGTGTGTGTATGTATAGTAGAATATTAGTGAAAGTATTTTAATGGATCTAAAGCTCAACTTTAAAGTTATAAAATTAAAGTAGAATAAATTGTCAAATAACAAATATTGACATTCATCTTTCAAAAATGGAAACAAAAACCATAAAGATTGATGATAAGTATTATTTTTAGTGCAGTAAATTACTGGAACAGCTAGTATAAACTTATTTTGATATTCAACAATCACAACAGAATTAATTTTAAAATGAGAAAAATTGGTTTGGCAGAAACAATTTGCTTAAATACTTGTAAAGGAATAAAGATTTGTGTAATTAATATCAGGAAATAAAATGAAACTATATAATTTATCAATGTTTTTGCTTTTAAGAAAACTTTAATGGCTTTAGGTTTCAGGTTCTTCATTTGCAGAGCAAGAAGAACAAAATAGCTATTTGAAAAGTGCATTTTAGCTTTTGCTTCCATTTTCTTAAAATCTGCATTATATTTGTTTATATAAATCTTACTAGAAGGTATCTGGAAATTTAAATAATTGACCACAAGAGGGAGAACTCTAATTCTAGATTAAAGCATTCAATGCAGTACAAAATAATCTGGAAGTATTTTGCTATGTGAAGTTGGCAATAGGCTATCATAGTCCTACTTGTCTGGAAAGCTGGAGGTTTTCTCCTATTAAGTGTAGATTAGTTGAAATGTGCTTGTGTTGCTAAATATAAAATAAAATTACTGAACATCAAAATGCGTTTGGGTCCTGTAGGACTCTCCTTTCCCAGGTCAGCAGGTTACTGCTCCTTCCTAGCTCATAGGTCTGCCCAACTCCTCTGAGGCTTCCCTCTCATTCAGTGCCAGATAAGTCTACTCCTTCTCACCCCCAAATGGCTGATCAAGGTCTTCCCAGACCTCACTTTCCCTCTCTGCCAGCTTGGTTTCTTCCATCCCACCCCATGGTGCTACCCATATCTTCTGAGACTTCTGTGTTACCATCATAGGCCCCCAAGCACATCTTGGGCTTGCTCTGCCCCCATCAGATAGGCTTTGCCCCCCTTCCCACTTGTAGGCATATCTTACTTTCTCTGAAGCACTGAGTAAGCATTACTCTATCACGTGATATAGGCATCCCCACTTCCCTGGGTGTCACCTCAAAATGTTGCCAGAATGCCCAACACCTCCAGGGTCTCCCATTTCTACCCCTTAGACTAGGCTTATTCCTCCCACTCCATATGCTGACTCCTTCTCCAGGATCTCACTTCCCAGTGCTCCTAAGTAGGCCCTGTCCCACCTGACCTCTATAGGCCTCCTGACTACATACCCAGCTTCCCACCATCTCTTGTCCTCAACTCACAGTTGACTGTAGATTACTCAAAGCAGAGAAACTAGACTTGTAACACCACATCAGAAGACAGCACAGCAAAGGACCAGCAAGTGGTGTAGTGGACCTTGGACAGTGCCTGTTCATATAGACAGTGGAAACTGTAGCCTTCAATACAAGTTCTACGGAAGAAAACATCTCAATCCTCCGACAATTTATTCCTCTCCTGAACATTGCACATGCTTCCAATGGAAGCAGAAGGGAGATTTGAACAAAAGGAAAAAAAATATGTAACTAACAAACTACTTCAGGAATATGCAAGTCTCAGCACAGAAATGAAAGTATCACAAAAATTCAAGACAACATGTTACTCCCCAAATTACTAATCTCATAGTGCTCAACCCCAATGAGAATAATCTGGAACATCTTCAACAAAAAGAATTAAGAAATGACCATAACTATGTTCAGACAAATCAAATACTGTGAATGTACCCCAAAAGAACCAAAGCAAAGAAATGAATGAAATATAGAAATCAATCTAAGATACTAAAAAAGAATTCAATGAAGTTATATAATTTCTGAAGAAAACCCAAACTGAAGTGATGCTCCTTTGGTTATAAGATTTATTCATTCATCTGTCATGAAAGAATTACAAAATGTTTTAGTAATGGTATTATTCTTGGGATAAGGAGAAATCCTCTTAGTGATATTTTAAGGAACGAATTTTATTTGAATGAATTCACTGTAGTCTGTGTACTAGAATGAATATATAGCTAAGTGAGTAATGGAATTTATTTCTAGTCACTTTGAGTTTATTTTATAATTATTTTCATAGTAGAGATTTCATGAATTCTTTAGTTAAATTTATAGTATCCTGAGTAAGAAATATCGTTTGGATATGTTCCATAACTTCCTACGAAGTTATTGTGATTCTTAATGACTTTTATTAGCTTAATGAATTAAATTTCTATCAGTATTTCAATATCAGGAAATATTACACACCCAGAAAAGATAAATGCTAGGAAATGTGATGGAGACCTGGTTTACCACTGTTTGGGTACCTGGCTAACTACAATGATCATTTCACAAATAGGTATTTACCCATGACATCAGTAAGAAGTGTAAATGAATGTATAATAAGTGATTAAAATTATGTCCATGCATATGTTATCATTACAGATCACAGCAAAATCATCTCAGATTTTTAAATTGAACAGGATAACAAGGGAGAGCCCACCTCCATTCACATTGTCAGCTGGACTAGCTTGTTCCCAGGGTTAACTGGAAGTCAGAATCAGGGATCACTCAAAGTTTTACTCAGTGTCTAGTGCTTGACTCCAGCTGGGAATTGGCTGGGCCCTGGCTGAGAACATGAGAACACCATCTGGAAATGTTCATGGCCCAATGCCTGACTTCTAAAGGCTTGCGTTGAAGTGAGCAAAGCAAGGCGCTTGACATTAACTCAGCCTTGGAAGTTGCCTGGCATCACTCCTGCTATACGATGCTGGTCAAAGCAGTCACAAATATCTGTCCGATTTCAAGGGAGGTAGGGGAATGTGAAGGTCACATTGTGAGAGGACTGAGTAGGATTGGATGTATTAGTGTAGGCATCTTTGGCAAACATAATGTGCCATAATTTCATATACATAGTGCTATTTAGTTTTTACTTACAAGCTATGCTTCCAGTCACTATTTAACTTCAATGTACAGTTTTTAAAAAAATATTTTATTTATTATTTTTATTTTATGTGTATGAGTGTATTGCCTGCATGTGGGTAAGTGCACCCATGCTGTGCAATGCCTTCGGAGGACAGAAGAGGCCATCGGATCCCCTGGAACTGGAGTTACAGACAGTTGTTAGCTGCCATGTGGGAGCTGGGATTCGAACCTGGGTTTTCTGCAAGAATAACCAGTGTTCTTAACCAATGAGCCATCTCTCCAGCCCCTTCAACGTATAGTTTTATTGAACTTTTGTGCATTTCCTACAATAAATCTTAATCATATGTAGATTAAGCCTGTCCTATCCGCAGCTCCCCATAGCCCCCCAAACTGGATTTCATGTATCCTGTTATATATATTAAGGCCTATCTGACCAAGCTTTTATATCCAGATGTCCTTTTGTGCAAGTTCATCCACTGGAGTACTTTTTGTAAACAAATTCACCCTCCTAAGAGATGCTATCTGATACAATAAACATGTTCGTTTCCTATAATCTTGCTTATGTAAAACAATTAAGAAATAAATTTTTAATTTTTGTTCTTTTTGTTTCTTTTAAAAAATTGTATTGTGCTTTTGTACATTTCATACAACAGTTCTTAGTCAAATTTTGACTCTTTTCCCCATATGGCCTCCCCCCACCAGACCTCATGCATTCTGCCATACGTGTTAAGGTCAAGCATTTGTACCCAGATGTCCTTCAGTGCAAGTTCAAGTTCATCCACTGGAGTCTAGTTAGCCTATCTAGAGAGCATAAGGGTCTACTCTCCTGCACTCAGTAGTAATCAGTCTCAGCAGTTCCCAGGATAGAGTCAGTCTGTCACCCGTTTCCATCACTCCACTCTGGGCCCTTGTCTGATTGAGTTGTCATGGGTTTGTACTCACTATGTGGCCCCAGCTGGCCTGGAACTTGCTTTGGAGACCAGGCTGGGCTTGATGTCACAGCGATGCAACTGTCTCTGGAGTGCTGGGATTAAAGGCATGCACCACCATGCCCAGATGAAATAAAATTTTAATCTGGGCAGGAATAATATCTGTGTACCATGCTGTATCTTGTAATACCTGCCAAATACCTGTCATATGGAAGAGTGTTCAATAAGCAATGCTGCATTAAAGAAATATAATGCTGCCTGGAATGGATTTTCTAATTTCTTCTAAAAACTTGTTGTGTTCTTTAGCTTTACAATGGCCTCAGTATTACTGATTATACAGACCAGAATATGGGTGCATTGGAACTGTTTTCAAAGGCTAGGTTTCATTTTCTCTAATGCAGGGATCCTGCAGTGTTTATTCCCTCACTTGTGCTCTTAGAGTTCTTCTTTCTACAGTACTGGTCTCATCAGACCATATCTTATCATGAGTCATATTGGAATCAATTTTATATGTACTTGCCTCTAACTTTAGTTTGCAGTTATCTCAGGGATTGGGCTGTTCTAAATAATCCATCTCTCCAAACACTGTTTTTTTTTTTTTTTTCCTGCAGGTGATAGAGGCTGTTTATTAACAGTTTAGAGAATGCATGAAAACCTGAATTGTGTCTCTCTCCTTTCATCCATAGTTTTTGTTTAAAAATGTCATTCCAGAAAAATGTTGGAACTTAAGAATTTATTGGACCCATTCACTTTACAACAATACATTGAACTTTATACCAAAACAAGCAAATGCATTTTTATGTCTGTTTCTACGTGCTCCGTAAAGATTAACGTACTACCTGTGTGCATATTACAATGTCCTATTCCTTTTCTTTTTAAAGAGTAACCTCAAAAATATACCCTTTTTTAAAAGTAGTACAAATTCTTGTAGAGATCTACCCACATCATTGGTCTCCATCCTAGAAATGGGAAGGAGCAGGCCACACTATATCAGAGTGCAAGGTGACATGTATGGGCTTGTTATACATGCTTAAGAATGTTGCTGCATCCATGAATTCTTCAGCATTGCATAAATACTTTATAATTTGTTCCGGGAGGAGGAGGTCAGGTGCAACTTGGTGCAAGTTATCACCTGGCTCTTTAGTGCCCACTTTCACAGTCTTAAAAAGGTGGAGTGCCAGTCTATGCGTCAGGGTGAGGAACTCTGTTGTAACTTCTGCTAGGGACTGTGATTGTGTCACATCATCCAGATACATAACTGGCACGTTAATCACAGAAACATGCCATTGCATAAAGAGCCTTGTGGGAATGTTATGAGAAATAACTATTATTTTCATGTTTTGGATCATAAATTCTGTTTCATCCTTTTCATGGACAACATAATCTAAAAGAATCCGGAAAAGCGTACCATTGGAGGTCTCAAGGATATGCAGAAAGGAAGTGGGGTATATGAGCAGCAAGCCTGTCACTGCTTCTCCAAGGTGATGCTTCAGAATTAACTGAAACAGCTGTTCATAGTATTCAGTAATTTCCTTTTTCTCCACATTTGCTTGTATGTACCCCACTAGAAACATCCTGTGGAGGGGGAATTTCTTTAGCTGTAGTCTTTGTTTCTCTTCCTGAAGATGCAAATAATTGGTACGAGGAACTTTGGGCATCAGAGGAGAATCCATCTGAAGATGTTTTTTGCTGCCCTTCTGATTATGGATTAGGAAAGACATGACGAAGCTTCCTTATTTTTCTAGATTATTCCAAGTCTCATTGATGGTGAACTATTTCTTCTGACAAAAAAAGGAGTTAAAGATTTGTTGAGTGTTAGTAAATATCAAAGTATCTTCTCAGTTCAGCCAATAAATAGTGTCTTTGAAAAGGAAGAAAAAGTCAAACCAAGACTTGAAGTAAGATATTGTTGTTAAGTTTACAATGAGATAATTAGTGTATGTTAGGAGAAAAAACCCTCTCCAAATGAATTTATGAATGCATATCATACTTTTTCAAGTTTTGGTTTTAATTTTTCTATGCTAAGTAATTTGTCCAAAATTTAAAGTTAACAGTTCTGTACAGTTAATAAATCTAGGGTACTCTATGCTGTTATTAGCTTCTTTAACCTTTATTTGGGACACTAAAAAGTAATAGCTCTGTTTTAGTAAGAGTAAACTTTTCAGGAAACAAGTTTTGATTATTTGGGTTTATTTTCTCCTTTCAAAAATCTCTGTTCCTGTTATATTCAAGTTTAAATAGGAATAGGTCACATTTTCACTTAGTCTCACAGCCTAGTCCCAATCCCAGACCTCCTTAGCATCTCTTTCTTTTGTGCTGTGTCATTTACCTGTCTTTGAGGTCCTAGCTTGTCCTCCATCCTGCTTCCAACTGCCAGTGCGCTGATCTCTCAACTGCCCTGTCCTGGGTTCTGATTCCAGAAGGCGTTAACAGAGTCAGAATGTCAGGGGCATTAAAGAGCTGGAGTACCCACTATTCCTAGCTCTAAATTAGTAAGGGTCCTAACCAACACTTAACAACACTGTGGAGAAAGTGAGGCTTTCTCTTCCTGAATGATATTTTGTTAGCAACGCACATTTATCAACAAGAGAGTTGGCAGATCTGGGCATCTTTTATATTTTAGTATCTAAAAACTATGGCGTAGAACTAGTTCCTATGTTGCAACCACACACTATTTAAAGTCTGTAAAAACACATATCTGAATCTATGTAATAAAGCATCTGTTATGAGAATGTTTTATAATACCATTTGGGCTATTTAATTTAATGTGAATTTGAGTTACTCTTTAAAATGGAAACTAATGTCACCTTTTAACATTAGACTCACGTTAGCTCTAAACAATAAATTTAATGTGGCAAGGTTAGAAAACACTTTTATTTAATTAAAAAATGAACCTTAGAGAACTTTTTTCTCCTAAGGTTTTCACTATTCAAAGTAATGATCTGATTTTAATAATATACAGTGATAAATTATTCCAGAAAATGAAGCCTGAGAGGTGATTTAGCAGTTCTTTAATTGTGTGATATGTAATAATTGACTGCAATCCCTCAGTGATGCACTGTATCACTCACTGAAGTGACACACTCTCCCCTGATGTACATTTTGTCATCGCCTCATCTAGGGGCTATTAGACTCTTTGCTGCTTTGGGGAATATAATAATGTCTACCACATCCTTCTACAGCCCTCTTTCCCCCTAGTTCCTATGAAATTGTGCCTCCCAGAATTTCGTACCAAAACTCTTTCAGTGGCCTAGCCCAGTAACTTTTACCACTGAGTTCTGGGCAGTGCTGAACCCGTGACATACAGATTTCTTACTCTGTTACCTTGGTGTTCTCTGTATTCTCTTTTGTGAGGGCAGGGGGTGGTCCTAAATGCTATTCCTATATCCAGACTGCATAACTGACACGATTCATTGGTCACAGAGCTTTCCCAATGAGCTCATTTGTGGACTGGGATTCTTCTCAGTCAAATACCCAAGGCAAGCAGTACTAGCTGATTGGGATTGACCAAGAAGAAAAGAAATCTGAGCCCATTCCAGAATTTTCTCTTCACAGAAGACTGTTAAATTATTACCTCCAGTAAATTATTTACAACTCTTCTTTCCTTAGCTATAGCTTTCCATTCAAATTTTAGATACCAAGCCTGTAAATATTATTTTAGTTAATAAGCCCATTTCCTTTACTAATATCTGGATTAAATTTCACTCTCTTAGTGTCCAGGTCAAAACTCTGCATTTTGCCTTTTCATATTTTTTTAAAAGTTAATCTCCACTTCTGTTCTTTTACCTAAAACATACAATTTCGCCAGGTGTAGGTAGTGGCACACACCTTTAATCCCAGCACTTGGGAGGCAGAAGAGGCAAATCTCTGTGAGTTCCAGGTCAGCCTGGTCTGTATAGCGAGTTCCAGGCCAGTAGGGGCTAGAGGGAGACCCTGTCTTAAAGACAAAAACAACAACAACAACCATACAATTTTCTATGACCTTCTTTATAGTTCTAGCTTTTTTATTTGGAGAGTAACTGTTTTCTATCCCCTACCATTTCTTTATATTTCTCCACTCCAAAAATTTGCCTTAGAGCATGTCTTAGAGTAAGCCTGTATGATAATTCACAGACTTATTCTTGTATATTTGTAATTGTTTTTCAGGGTCTTTTCCACTATTCTCTAGTGAGTGCTAGAAACAGGAGATCTACTTTACTGGGTACAGAATGTTATCTTGCATTTAGTACCAGTCTCCAATGATGGATTAAACTGTAGAGAACATGGAGACATGTTAAAAAAAAGTGTTTGTTAGGTAACACTGATATGCTCAAAATCATTAGAAATGCAGTGGATTGTTGTTACTAAGGAACCCTTTCTGAATGTGTAAACTCAAGCTAACCTTTCATATATAGATAAGATTCGTTTTCATCAGGCTATTCTTTGTTTAATCACAATTTCCTTCCAAACTTAGTGAAGGACTAGCTTTGAAAATAAGGCCAACTATAGGATGCATTATTTTACTTCAACTTTCTGTTGACTTCATGCATATATTATTCCTGTCTATAGCTTTATTTCCAGAAAGAGCAAATGAGAATAGATAATCTACACATGGGCTTTGAACAAGATTTTAATTTACTTGACATATGGCCAGGGCCTCCTTGGTTCCCCAAATCTTGTAATAAGAAAAACTGTTCTATTTGTTCTCGTCCTCACTCCTGTTGCTGCTTTCTGTTCATAAACTCTGTTGTACCGTGCTGCTTCTGCCATATTGCTTCCTTGAGTTTCTATTTCCATTAGTACCACAGCCTGATGCCCGCCCCCCAAGCCATATCACCCTTCCCTGATCAGTGCAATATCTCCCTGGGTCTATATGCCTTTCTAATTCATGCTCTTATTAAAAAGGGGGTTCAATATTGGTCTCCTCCCCCTCAGTGTGTGATTTTTTTAATTTATTTTGATTTTGTTTCCAATGTAAGCTTGACAGAAAAAAATTACCATTATAAATATACAAATGATATAATATGTCAACTAAGCCAGTCACTTTTCAAAATATGGTAATTCTTTAAAAAGCCTAATTGGTGTTAAAATTAAAGCATAAATTATTATTTCTATAACATAAAAACCATCTGAATATGACAACTTTGTGAGACTCAATTTAATATACTCAGAAACAATGTTTTTTTTTTACTACCCCAGGTAGTTTGTCCTAGAGTCTATTTCCCCAATGTATTTTTCTTTCCTTGAATGTTTACTTGTTAGATTGCCCCCCCCCCCCGTTTTTAGTTTTATTGCCTTGTGACTAGCTTGTTTTCTTGCCTTTCACCAGTCACACTGTGAAGCATCACAACCGAAGCTCTGACCAGACAGGATAGAAACAGCATGCAGTTTGGACAGTTCCTGATTAGTTGACATGCACAATTACAGTTGCACACTTCTGCTTTGATAGACACCCATGATTTTTGCTCCCAGGTACCACAGTCCTTGTGCTCCATCTGTTAAGGGCCATTTATTTGCCCTTGGTGACCTGAACAGACATCTCTTATGTATCGAAGTGGATCAAGGAGCATTCATATTATTTAATCCAGAGTGATCCATTAAGAATAGCTGTCCAAATTGAAGTTCTAACCATTTCTAAGTGAATAGTAACTTGCAGGGTTAATCCCTTTTCAATTAGTCTACTTGCACTCTGCTAGTTCATATCAACATATTTCACATAAAAACACGTTATTGTAACACATGCCAAAAAGTCCATGTTACCATTTCTTACATACCTCATACTCTGCTTTTCTTCTCCAGAATGAAATGTTTTTGAATAAACTCTCAATGTTCTCTTGTCATTGTCAGCCACATAGGATCGAGAGAGAAGATTAAATATCATTTAAAGGTATGCAGTGATACTTTTGCACATACTAATTTAATATTCAAAATAATCCTATAAGGTGACAGAACTTTCCCCATCATTTATAGAGGAGGTTGCTAAACAAGGGGTAACATTCTTTGGTCATTCAGATCTGTGCTCATGAGCTTCCCTGTGATGCTTACCTAAAGTAAAAGGGAGGCAAATTATCCCTCCCCAATCCAAGACCACAAGACTGCTCATCCATCATCTGTGGCATGATCATTTTCCTGGAAACAGAGTATAGCTTGTGTTTCGTATGAAATAAATGCAAGGGAAAACTCTTACATCATACCTGTGATTCAACAAAATAATTCTACTCTCATTAACTACTCATTTATGTCAAATTTGACACCACTGGTGTGCTAGGTTATAGTATAAGCACTGTAAAATGCAAACCTGGAAAATAATGGTTTTTAATTTCCAGCAGATGAGATTATAGTATTGTGATGAACTGTTTATGAGTCAGATATTCTGGAAAAGGGCATGCATGTAGAAGATGATGTCCACTGCTTTAGAAATATCAACATAGATGGGGCAGTTGAATTTTCTTAGTGATAGAGGTCTCATTTGAGCAAGGCCTTCAGAGAACAGAGTTAAGGAGGGGCTTTGAGGATGTTTTTTGAATTTATGTCTTTAGAATGTGCAGTTGTGAATTACTGGACTTGACACTGAGTCACTTTAATCTTTCATCTGTGCTTTGAGAATAGAGGAACAAAAGACCCTTTCCTTTAATTTCATCTCTGTTTCAACACACTTAAATCACCAGTCTAAGAGAATAAATAGCCTAAATAAATAGTTAGCATTATTTAGAGACTTCCACTAACAGCTCATAGTCTTTTA